TCTTATATTGTTAAAAAACAAATTGAAGGACACTATTTTAAACTATACCAGAAATTAACAAAATCATAAATTTATGATAATAATATAGGAAAGGCTGAGGGTTGTACAACTTTTACACTTAATTTAAAATATAACTAAGAATATAGGGCATAAAAATCTTATCTCAAGTCACCATAGAAATCCTCTTTGTTATGCATAAAAAGGTAACTTGGATCCCTGTTTATTCAGCAACTGAGACTCCTTTCAGACAATCAGTTACAGGAATTTCCAAAGGTTCATCACAAAATCTTCCAAGAGGATGGCAACAGTCAACCAATGAAATTAAGGCTCCATCAAGACTCCCATGTATTTTAATCATTTATATTCAGCTGTTGTGCTTTAGTGAAATAAAGTCTTTATTCCAAAGCCAGTTTTAAGAAAGGTGGACTTCCTCTCCTCTCCTAAACTCCTCCACTCTTTAACACCTAATATGATAAGCTGACCCAGAGTCAGAAAGCTGATAATCTTAAAAACTCACCCAGGAAAGTATTCGGCTTGCAAATGACTCGGTGTAAGTGCTTGCTAGACTCCAGGAACCCAATATTCAATCTGTATCACAGTCAAGTTCTATATCCCTACTGTCCATGGAAATCACCAGAACTTATCACTACAAATGGAAATTCTGATAGAGTCTCCCATGGCCAGCCCCTGGAGGAGAAAATACTCTGTTGTGACAAAGGGTAACAACTGAACTATTCCCATCCCTTCTTTCAATATTTGTAGCTTCTGTCTAAAAGCTACTATAAGCAGTTGGCAAAAAGCTCAGTGTAGGAAAAAATGGGAACTATTAACATGATAATGGAGCAGAGAATACCTGGAAGCAAAGGGATCTAGGAGAACACAGATCCTGCTCCACCCATCACCAACAATAACAACAACCTAATATATGTGGAAACGAATGGCCTATAACTGGTAGAGCTTTCAAGGGGAAAATAGTTTACGAACAAGTGGGAAAAAAAAGGGAGAGAAAATGAATTTTGAAAGAAAATTTATCATAGAATTGAGGCAAAAGAAATGTGTCTGTCTTCACACCCTTCTTTGCTTGATTAACACTTTCTTATCCTTCAAGGGTCAATTTAGCAATTGTTCCTGAAGAAGAGGTTTCTTGGCAGAGGTGTTGTGGTACAGCAGCTTAAGGTCCCACTTGCAACAACAGCATCCCACATCAGAGTTCCAGTTTAGGTTCTGGCTGCTCTGCTTCCAAACAGGCTTCCTGTTAATATGCCTAGGAAGACAACAGAAAGTGGCCCGGGTACTACGGCCCCTGTGATGCATGTGGAAGACCAACATGAAATTCCTGGTTCCTGGTTGCAGCCTGGTCCAGATCTGGCCATTCTGGCCATTTGAAAATGGACCCAGGAGATGGGTCAATATGTCTCTCCCACTGTCACTATACTTCTTAAATAAAAAAAATAATAACAATAAATCATTTTTTAAAACTCTTAAAATCTTTATCTTCCCCAAAGTCTTAACTTTGTTAATATAGTACCTATGATTGTGGGGTTTTTTTAAAAAGTATTTACTTATTTACTTGAAAGTTAGAGTTACACAGAGAAAGAAGGAGAGGCAGGGAGAGAGAGAGGTTTTCCATCCACTGGTTCACTCCCCAATTGGCTGCAACAGCCAGATCTGTGCTGATCTGAAGCCAGGAGCCAGGAGCTTCTTCCGGGTCTGGCACATGGGTGCAGACTTTCCCAGGCCATAGCAGAGAGCTGGATTAGATGTGGAGCAGCAGAGACTCAAATTAGCGCCCATTTGGGATGCCAGCACTCAGGCAGCAAGTTTTACCAGCTACACCACAGCGCCAACCCCGATTGTGTTTATAATATTCTGTCATAACTGTCTTTTTTAATTAATTAATTAATTACTTTTTAAGGAATACAAATGTCATAAGTACAGCTTTGGGAATATAATTATTCTTCCCACCATACCCACCTTTAGCTGTCTTTTTATTTATATAAATCACTATATAATTCACCTTTTAAGGTGTACAATTCAATTATTTATAGTATATTCACAAAATTTATGCAATCTACACCATACCTAATTCCACACTTTATCATTCCTAAAAGATACCCCATATCCATTAACACTCATTTTTCAAGAACCTTTCCTTCCAGCGCTTGGCAAACATGAGTCCACTTGTCTGTGTAGATTTGCCTCTCTGGACATGCTCTATAAAGTGAATCATAGAAAATGTAGTCATTTGTGTCTGACTTCTTGTGCTTTGCCTAAAGTTTTCAAGGTTTATCAATGCAGTAGCATGTAGCAGTACTCCATGTCTTTTTATGACTAACTAGTATTCCATTATACTTATATAATGCATTTTTTATCCACTGGTCAATTAATGGGCATTTGAGTTGTTTCCAGTTTGGGTTTTATAAACAATACTGCTATGAGTATTCATGTAGGAGTATTTAGGTTTGGAGCTATGTTTTCATATATATACTTGGGATACACACTTAGCAGAGTTGCTGGATTATATGGTAACTCTGTGTTTAACTTTCTGAAAAATGGCCAAATTATGTCCCATTTTTCTATTTATCTAATCATCAAACTTTTTAAGGGTGGGAACCAAGTCTTATATCCTGACATAGTGTCTAATGCAGTCTATGAATATTTGTTAATGAGTGAATAAAAGCTCCAAATACTTCTTCCACTTTTTTGCCTTTTTTTTTTTTTGAGTTCCCCTCATCTAAATATTCCCTCAAAATATAATTATCTCTCTGGATGCTTTCTCCTTTGGAGTTATTATAGGTAACATGTTCATAGACACCAGCAATTCTTGAAATAGATTCTCTATAATTGCTAGACCAGAGAGCTGTGATCTACTTAAAATGGCTCGCCTGTATGTCAAAGAAGCTAACCTGATAGCAGAATCCAGTGTTTCTGGATTGCTATCAGCCGGCAGGCAGTTTGATACTCAAGTATATTTTCAATGCGGCCCTCCAGCAAAAACTACAGGTATAGGACACATTTGGCTCTAGGACACCCTCTGTTGGCCCTGCTGTCAGCAGCAGTGAAATGGACCTGGCAGGGAAGACAGCAGAGTGATTCCCACATGGGGCTAGAGGCAACATATGGGACCCATCCCATTACAAAAGCAACCAGAGGAGATCTGTAGATGAAAGGGCCTACCAATCCTAGCAGCTCTGGGAAGGGATTAGCCTCCCAGGACTGGCACTTAAGTGGCCTGATGACTTCCAGCCCTGGTCAGTTAAAAAAGACTATTGCAAAGAGGAAATGCTACTTTGATCCTCAAATACAAAGTGGACATGTGACATGGATGGAAATATATTTTAAACACGAACAACACCTCTTGATGTGAAGATGGTAATACCTCTTATAAAACTGCTTATGAATGTACATGAATTCCTTGTAAAATCTCACAAAAATCTCTCCCCATCTGCTCCTCATAGAGATTTCCTGATTCTCACAGAAAAACTCCCTTTTGTACCTTATAAAAATATGACATACTGCATTATAGACATATAATTTGAATCATTCCAATTTTCTGAGAAGTCAGGGTTAGTAACTTTGCTCAATAAGTTATTGAAGTTGTTTTATATAAGTTAGCAGTGGTGAGTAGAATGCCCATCCCAGAATGCCTGCTGCTTAATCCCAAAAACCTGTGACTTCATTACACATATGTCAAAAGGGACTTCGTAAGTGCAACGTGAAGGTGGAAAACTTAACTTGGAAGATTACCCTGGTTTATTTACATGAGGACACAGTATCATCACATGAGCCTTTAAAAGGAGAGATTTTTCTCTCATTGGTGTCAGGAAAGATGCCACAGAAGAAGAGTCAGAAAGGTCTGAAGGATGAAAGGAACTTGTTTCATTGTTTGTGGGGGGTGGGAGACACATGGCAAGCATGAAATGTGGACAGCATCTAGGAGCAAAGATCAGCCTCCAAATGATAACCAAAAAGGAAATAGGGACCTCAGTCCCATAATCATAAGGAACTGAATTTGGTCAACACCATGATTGGGTATGGAAGTAGATTCATCCTCAGAATCTCCAGACAAAAACTCAGTCCAGCCAACACCAGGATTTCATTCTTGTGATAAATTAGCAAAGGACCTAGTAAGGATACACCATATGTGCAGAACTATGAACAAATAGATTTGTGTTGTTTTAAAATACTAATCTGGTAGTGATGCATATGGCAGAAACTAACATATTCCCAAATATCAGTATGTCAAATTCCAACATTCTATGGTTCTGAAAGGCAATCATAACTGGAATAGCCACTTAAAATCATATGTTAATTGTCTAGTCCCAGGATTCATGCACATTCCACTACTAAATGTTATTTTTATCATGGGTACATTGGAAATTGCTGCTGAAAATTATTAGATATTTCTAACATTTGGAACTCAAGATTCATTTTTTTAAAATTGAATAGCTAATTAGTTGGCCAAGTCTTTATAATATTGTCTCAGTTTGATGCCATTAATTTTAGGAATACATCTCTGTCATCATAGACTTTAATATGTTTTACTTGACCCCTTTTTATATAACTATTTATCACAGTAATAAAAGCTAGTAATTATTGACAGGGGCAAATGAATCAATGTTTAGAAAAATGTGAGAACATAAATGACACTAAGGTTTACAGGCCTCAAAAGTATGAGGAGTTCTAAGGTAAAATCCACTCATACTTTTAGTATATAAAGTTGAGTTAGTTTTTAACAGGACTTTCTTAATATGATGAACATACTTTCTTAGTATGATGACTATATTTTGATATTTTTATTTTTTTAATTTCATGTGGCTTTATTGCAAACATATTATACTTTCTTTGGTTCCTGATCTGTAGGACACATGCTTAGGATATTCCACATTTAACCTACTCCAACCAGTGTTTCTAAGTTATAACAATGCCAACAAAACCGGATTTTTCCACAGAATCTACAATGTAACATAAAAATCTGGATTTGGAACGTGAGTACTTACTTTTTCTGAGTTCTTTCAGCCTGCCTTGCAATCTCTATAGCTGCCTTTCTTGCTTCAAAATCTTCCCTTTTCATTATCTCCCCGGTCCCTCGGTAGCCTAGCTCCACCAACTGGCGGGCCAGGTTTTCATCCTAAAGAGAAAAATCAATTGGTAGATGGGTGGGCTAATGAAACATAGTATTTTCTCCACTGTATACCGAACAATTATTTTAAATGACAAATTAAATATATCATTTTAAAATTAGATAATCTAAATATGAAAAACTCAATGTGAAAAACTAGAATGCTTTTCTAGCAGTGCATTTATACACATCTTATTTGGTCTACCCTTTCCCATTGATATAGGATGAAAAAAAGAAGTAAGATCAGCCACTAAATTTTCTCTAAGGACTGGAGAACAAAAGTCTTCTGTGTTTTTACTCAGTTTATGAAAACAGCTGTGTGTAATTAATATAATATCTTTAAAACAATAAAATTAGAGACAATAGTGTTTCTACAAAAAAGACTTTAAAAACTAATGACACACAAAAGAATTGGGTTGCTTTCAGAAAGTTCAATGTTTCAGAGACTTACTTCATTGGAGGCAGTTAACTGATGACACAGGACATTATAATTTCAAACACAAAATAAAAAGGAGCAGATGAATTTCCTACTTAACTACAAAGATATTATTTCCATATATTGTTGGTGCCAATAGAAACAGAAAAGTAGAAACCCAAGATGATAACCACAAAGAGATTCAAATTGAAAAACAATTTCCCCACAGTATTTTAGATCTTTTATATTTCACTTACTTTACAAATTGTAGGAGACATTTTTGTAACTTGCATAGTATATCCACAAGAATACTGTTTCCCCATGATTACATTAGGTACCATATTGCATGAAGACATTAGTATCAAGACTAAAGTATTCCATATGTGTATACTAATTCTGGTCATTATCATCTTAACTAGATATAAAATATCTGAGGTATAGTAGAAATAGTGTTTACAAACTCTAATTAGTACATCATTGCTTAACGCAAATACTAACAATTAAATGAGAACACTTGCCTATTCTACTCAAAGTGGCTATTTTAAAGTTAGAACTATTCAAACAAACAAAAAAAAAAACCAAAAAACAAAAAATAGAAACATGCTAATTTATTTGCTTAGCGAATACTTAATTCTATATAGCAACATGTATACATTTTGAATGCTATTGCAATGCAAAGCAGCAGGTTTTAGGAGACCCAAGGCCACTGGTCTTCTCAGAGAAGTTTCTCTGCTTAACAGACTTCTCTATTTCTATATGCATTTGGAAGAACCACAAACCCGAGCAAATGCCTCCACCTAGTGGAATTAGTCTTTAATGAAAAAGCAATGCAGATTTGGATTGGTATTATAAAAGTAAGATAATTTGAAAATGAATTTTCTTTGATATCACTAAAAGTGAGGTTATAGAAAGAACTCTCAGTTCAGCAAAATTTTAGGATTTTTATAGGAGTATAAGAATATAAAATTATATATTAAATATATGATTCTTATATATTAAAAAGTTTCTGTATTTATTTTGCATCTCTATGTGCCTTATCTGAGTTACACAAAGTTATTTGAGTAGTTCTGCAATCACCAGTACTAATCTATATTACAACAAATAGCACGATCTATTGCAAAACAAGCAGGAAGTTGAAACCGGTCATTTCAACTACAATTAATATGCTCTGATGGAATCATGAATTATCTCTTCAATATAACAATGTATTTCTTATGTCTCTGGAAACATCCTAGCTAAGAGCAAAACAACTGAAACAAAGAAAAAAATGCTGAAGATTGTCCCAAGAATCTCAACTTTTTTGTGGGATCTGTTTTCAAATGGAATGTCAATTTGCCCCTTCTACTTAAACTTTTTTTCCAAACTCCCCAACTATATCCCCAAAGGGTGGAATGAAACATAGTTTTTTTGGACAGGTGTTGTTGCACAACAGGTTAAGCCCCCATCGAACATCCACATTCCTGGGATTCAGTCCCGTCTCTGCTTCTGATCTAGCTCCCCAGAAATGTGCATTCTGGAAGTCAGCAGATAATGGTGCAAGTACTTGGATCCCTGCCCCCAATGTGCAAAACCAGGATGGAGTTTCTGGTTCCCAGCTTCAGCCTGGCCCAGTCCCAACTATTGCAGCCATTTGAGGAGTGAACCAGCAGATTTAAGATATCACTTGCATGCTCTCATGCTTGCTCGCTGGCTCACTCTCTCTCCCTTTGAAATAAATAAAAATTAACTTTACAAAAAGAAAAAAGTCTTCACACCTAATGGCAAATACCAAGATTTGACAGTTCCCTCCCCTAATACCAAGATCCAGAAGAATTTTCCACCAACTATAAAATAGGTAGACTTGAATTGGCAAATAAAATCACTCAAAAGTTAGGGTTTTTTAAATTGCATGTCCTTTTTAATTTTCTGCCCCTAGCATTCACAAAATTGAAATCAGTGATCATCAGAAAGCTGGCTATTCAACTTTCAACTATATCTATATATTTATATATATATATATATATTGTTGCAAAAGACAAGATAGAATTTTTTTGTTATTTTTATAGCTGAATAGTACTCCACAGTGTGTGTGTATGTATGTATGTATATTTATATAAAAATAGATATATAATATATAATGTAATTTTTCCAGTCAACAGTTGAAGGACATCTGGGTTGATTCCATATCTTAGATATTGTAAATTGCGCTGCAGTGAACATGGGGGTACAGATAACTGTTTTAAATGCTGATTTATTTTGGTTTGGGTAAATTCTCAGTAGTGGGATGGCTGGATCATATGGTACATCTATATTCAGATTTATGAGGTATCTCCATACTATCTTCTTTAGTAACTGTACCCATTTACATTCCAACCAACAGTGGATTAGTCACCCATGATCTTCTTACACAAAGATAATCACTGATATCTTGGGGCATAGCTTTTCAACTGCTGCTCTTACGTGTTTGGATATGCTGAATTTATTGTAACATCAGTAGAATCACACTGTTCAATCTTTCATGGCCTACTTCTTTGACACTTAACAATAGCTCTTGAACACCTTTCAATTAAGTAAACATTCAATAAAATTTTAGTGATTCCATATTCCATAAACTCTGAGAGGACAGGTACTGTACACAATTTATTACTGTGCCTGTGGCTTCCTGTCTTTGACAATGAAAATGATACAATGATTTGCACTGCTTTGATTAGTAATGAGACTCACCATATGTTCCTATGTTCATAGGACATGTGCATTTCCTATTTTTAGACTTTCAGTTTTGAATTTCTAAACAAACCCTTTGCTCATTTCTTTTTTTAACTTGTATTTAATAAATATAAATTTCCAAAGTACAGCTTATGGATTACAATGGCTTCCCCCTGCATAACTTCCCTCCCACCCACAACCCTCCCCTCTCCCGCTCCCTCTCCCATTCCATTCATATCAAGATTCATTTTCAATTCTCTTTATATACAGAAGATCAGTTTAGCAGACATTAAGTAAAGATTTCAACAGTTTGCACCCACACAGAAACAGAAAGTGTAAAATACTGTTTGAGTACTAGTTATAGCATTAATTCACATTGAACAACACATTAAGGACAGAGATCCTACATGAGGAGTAAGTGCACAGAAATTCTCGTTGTTGATTTAACAAATTGACATTCTTGTTTAAGGTGTCAGTAATCTCCCTAGGCTCTAGTCCTGAGTTGCCAAGCTATGGAAGCCTTTTGAGTTCACCGACTCTGATCTTATTTAGACAAGGTCATAGTCAAAGTGGAAGTCCTCTCCTCCCTTCAGAGAAAGGTACCTCTTTCTTTGATGGCCTGTTCTTTCCATTGGGATCTCACTAGCAGAGATCTTTCATTTCGTTTTTTTGTTTGTTTGTTTGTTTGTTTTGCCAGAGTGTCTTGGCTTTCCATGTCTATAATACTCTCATGGGCTCTTCAGCCAGATCCGAATGCCTTAAGGACTGATTCTGAGGCCAGAGTGCTGTTTAGGACATCTACCATTCTATGAGTCTGCTGTGTATCCTACTTCCCATGTTGGATTGTTCTCTCCCCTTTTTATTCTACCACTTAGTATTAGCAGACACTAGGCTTGTTTATGTGATCCCTTTGACTCTTAGATCTATCATTATGATCAATTGTGAACTGAAATTGATCACTTGGACTAGTGAGATGGCATTGCTATATGCCACCTTGATGGGATTGAATTGGAATCCCCCTGGCACATTTCTAACTCTACCATATGGGGCAAGTCCAATTGAGCATGTCTCAAATTGTACATCTCCTCCTTCTCTTATTCCCACTCTTATATTTAACAGAGATCACTTTTGAATTAACTTGAAACACCTAAGAATAATTGTGTGTTAATTACAGAGTTCAACCAATAGTATTAAGTAGAACAACAACAAAAAATACTAAAAGGGATAAAGTATTAAGTTGTACAACTGTCAGGATAAGGGCTGATCAAGTCACCATTTCTCATAGTGTTCATTTCACTTTAACAGGTTTCCTTTTTGGTGCTCAGTTAGTTGTCACCGATCAGGGAGAACATATGATATTTGTCCCTTTGGGACTGGCTTATTTCACTCAGCATGATGTTTTCCAGATTCCTCCATTTTGTTGCAAAAAAAAAAAAAAACTGATTTCATTGTTTTTTACTGCTGTATAGTATTCCATAGAGAACATGTCCCATAACTTCTTCATCCAGTCTACTGTTGATGGGTATTTAAGTTGATTCCAGGTCTTAGCTATTGTGAATTGAGCTGCAATAAACATTAAGGTGCAGACAGCTATTTTGTTTGCCAATTTAATTTCCTTTGGGTACATTCCAAGGAGTGGGATGGCTGGGTTGTATGGTAGGGTTATCTTCAGGTTTCTGAGGAATCTCCAGACTGACTTCCATAGTGGCTTGACCAGTTTGCATTCCCACCAACAGTGGGTTAGTGTCCCTTTTTCCCCACATCCTCGCCAGCATCTGTTGTTGGTAGATTTCTGCATGTGAGCCATTCTAACCGGGATGAGGTGAAACCTCATTGTTGTTTTGATTTGCATTTCCCTGATTGCTTGTGATCCTGAACATTTTTTCATGTGTCTGTTGGCCATTTGG